CCTGCTGCAAACAGATCTTCAGCAATATGGCAATACGTGCGTTTTCTCCTAAAAGCATATTCCTTTAGTTTTCATTGGCATTTTTGCTGCTTAGAGTTATTGGCAAATCATAAATAATGCAGATCTCTGAACACACAAAGTTCTGCACTTTTTTTCAGAATTCAGTTTGTTGAATGTTGCTTATATTATTGGAAGGAAAAAAAAAAATCTTAACTACAGCTCATAGATATATATAATTGGGGAATACGTAACTGTAACGTTTTCAGTCTTTAGAATCCCTAGTTACCAATGCCAGTGGTGTAGGTATTTCAATAAAAATAAAAGGGAAGTTTAAATAAGCTCTCACAGGAGCAATAGCCTCCAGTTAAATGTTAAATCTTAATAAAACTGTTTAGCATAATTTGATAGGATGAAAATAGAAGTGTTATTTGGCATTAAATTTTTTTTCTTTAATCTTTATTCTGCAAAGTATGTGCACGATACGCAGCCAAGTAAATCATCTTGAAGGCAATTTATTATTCATACTTTAGCTCTCTAATAATACAGTCCAATCTTCTTTGTATTATGACAAATAAGATTCCTGAGAGTGCAGCTTAATATTTCATAGTATTTATAAGTGTGCTTGTTTCTTTGGTGTAAGGCTATTTTGGAGGTGATTTCCAGACAGAGAAGCATGTCTGTAATGTGTAGACCAAACTCTTCCTTGGACTGAGGTATCCCTATTAACATACATACCCCAAATGAAAATTCTTCAGCTGAGAAAAAAATGTTTTAAAAAGGCATTGCAAATTGTGATAGTAATTTGTGAAAATACACACCCATAGCCCACGTCAAACCCTCCGTTCTAAAACGTGTTCATCCTAAAGTCCTTTAACATGTGTTCATGGTCCAGGAACTTCAGTGGTTCTTAAAGATACGTTTAAGCACATTACTCGATCAGTATGAATAGCAGGAAGGCTCTTCAGTATGCCACATAAAAACTTTACTGAATAGTTGTGAAAGTTTAAATAATCCCTGAAGAACAGATTTCATGTCACAGTCTGTACTTACTGTGTTTCTTAGTTTAACAGAACAAAGCCGCATAAGCGAGTCGGGATGCAGAGCTCTCAGCTAACAGCTCCGCGGCTGCAGAGAGCAGTTTTCAGTGACAGGGTTGCACCATGGGGTGAGGAACCACAGACTGCTGCCCCGGAGAACGGGTGCAGCGCTTGCTCTCGTGCTCCCCAGGTGCAGGCCAGAGAAAGCTATGTGTCTGACAGCGAGCTGACCAGAGCATTGCTGGAAGGGGTGGGAAGGAACCGAATCCCTTCCGGGGAGGGCTCCTTCCTTCTCCTGGGGAAGGCTCCTTCCTTCTCCCGGGGAAGGATTCGTCAAACCAGACATAACAGATGAGTTACAAAGCCCAGGATTTGCTAGAGCTTTCTAACAAAGCAGGCAAACTAATGTAGTTAACAGGGAGTAAAGACTGTGGAGATTCAGCCAGAAATTGACCCTCAGATGTTCTGAACACATTTTAAAAGAAAATGTAGTAAAGTAACCTAATGCAGAAAGCGATTTTTCTTAGAACAGAACTATTTTGGCCAATTTCAAAACTGTAACACTGGAACAAACCATTGTAAGTACCATATTTGCTTTCTACTAAATGTAGTTTCAACACAAGACATCTGGCAGACAGAGTAGGTGATACAAATTAGACTGGGAGATAAACATGTAAAACTTCACTATTTTAGATGCTATCACCAATAAAACTGAACACAAATTACACAGGAGCCTGCGTGTGGTACTTTGACCATCTGTGTCCCAAGGTAGATGTAAAAATGGCAACACGTGCCTTCAGTTTCAGAAGCACTATTTGAAACTGTTGCCATTAAGCCTTGCCATAATGTTAGATTTAATTTTTACATCACTGAATTTTATGGTATACCATTTATGGGATGCATTTATAATCTCTATTACCATTGTGCAGCAACTGACAAATAATGGTATACGGTGTGTTTTATGTGCCTTCCTTTTCACTGAATTTGTGACAGTTTACTAAACTTCAGACATCGATAAACTGGCGAAAGGCCTTTCAATCTAGCATGACCACACAATTAAGTCTGAATACTATCGTGACTCAATGCTATTCTTTAATCTCGCTGAGAGCTACAGTGCAGAGCTAAACCTGTCGTTACTAATTCTGTAATAGACATCAAGGGAAGAATAAACAGAAGAAAGCTTACTTCAAAGACCAGCGTCTCATTAGTCGGTCCTGCTGCATATAGACTCTCTGGATGGTTAAAAGAGCGTTGATAATCAAAAACCGTTCCAGCAAAAGAGAACTTTCCTGGCCAGTCGATTGTCCAGTCTCCTGTTAGATAATACTTTTTACTGAGGTTGCGCACTGCGAGGTAGCTGGTGGAGATTTGCATTTCATGGAGCTGTATGCTGCGCGCTCCTGCCGGAATAGTGACCACGGCGTAGTAGTCTGAAATAAAAGAAGCAATGTTTTTGCAGTTGTCATACAGATAGAGATGGATTATCATTTTTGAGCCAATTTGAAATTTTTGCAGTTTAAAAGATATTCAAGAGGGCTGTTCTGATCCAAAGTTATTCTGTTTTCACAAGGAGAAACCAGTTCTTTTCTTAACCCCCCTATGCAGCCTGTAATCAGAGTAACTCAGAGGAATTTCAATTCCTGGAATTTTTCTTTGTGATTAAAGACAAGAAAAAGCAAGTTCACCTTAGAAAAACACAGAACAGACTAATGGTGGTTTCACTGTAATTGTTTTACCATGTTTTCCCTGTAGTTCCCTACAGTAGTTGGAAGGTACTACTTCCATCATGGATGGGGTTTTTGAGGTGAGATGCACCAGGATGCAGAGAGCTTTCCCAAAGCCCTGTATGCCACTGGGTCTCCCTGCTGTAACCCATTGCACTCTCGGCATGTAGGAATCTCACTCATTCTACAGTCAGATGAGACACTGCTGACAGTCTCCAACACGTACTGCACACAGCTGATTTCACAGAGCATTCAGTTTAGATTATTTTTCTAGCATTGTATCTCTGTATTACTATACCCTAAACAATTTCCTGACCTATATTACTGTAGCATTGACATGCCTTATGATCAACAGCAAATGGATCCTCAAAATACCCCCATAGGTAAAGAAATATTATCTGCATTTTATGTGTGAGAAACTGAGGCGTAGTGAGATTATTTCACAAGAAGCCTGTGACAGTCCACTAAAGAAAAGTCCACCTCCCAGTGACTGGATCGTCCACTGAATCAGCTGGACAGCTTCCAGTCAACTTAATTTGAAAATGGACATGGAAATACTGTCATGTTTGGCATTATGCTGTGTATCGCCTTTTATATCTTCTACAGTCCCATTCCAGTCAGAGCTGTTGACAGCTATTTTTTCACTTGCCTGAATCCTAAAATCTCTTTTAAGAGGAAATTCACACGTAAAGGGAAAATGTGGCTTAAGAAACAAGGGGAATGCTTGCAAATTAACTAACCAAGACTTATGCTCATAGCTTTCTTGTTACCAAGAAACAGGAGAAATGTGAACTCTCCTCTCACTCTCCCTGTGATTTTCAGTTCACATCTGGACTTTTAGCCACTGCCCTAATGAGCAAGGAGTCATATATATTACATGAGGATACAGCAGAGCAATGAGTTGATGATCATGTGGAACAGCTTTCCTTACCATTAGCTTTGTGCTGGATCAAGTATTGGCCTTTAAAGAACTTGCACGTTGAATTATCTCCTTTACAAACTCCACAAGCATCCAATGCAGCTTTGGAACCAAGTCCATGATCACACCCTACTTGCTGCAACCAAAAGGCACAAGTGAAGGACTCAGACACAAGGGAATTTGAAGAAACAGCCGCGTTTTCCATAAAGGAATCAATTGCTCGCTTAAAAAAAATAGACATTAGGATTGTAAGAAATGAAATTTTATCTTACTTCACATATTCCATCAATGCAAACATCATATTTATTCGGAGAACACAGAGTTCCATCCTTCACTTTGCTGGACATTGCAAAGAAAAAGTCAAAGTCTTCAGCTGTGCAGTACAATTTACACCTGTCTTCCTCTGAGGAAAAAAAGAAAACAAAACACCAAAAAACAAGACAAAGTATTAGGAGACCTGCAATACAGTTTAAAAAAAAAAAAAAAAAGCATCCTGATACTGTTTCTTTCTGCATGCTAGATGACAAGCTAAAGCATTAATTGTGTGTGGTGGCATATTAGGACCCCAAGATGGGTAGAGTCATAGCCCAATGCAGTAGTGTATATTATGCTATTTTAAAAGAACACACGGGTTTGACTGTCCACATACAGAATTAAAATTCAAAGCCAGTGTGAAAACATGCACATTGCCTCACCTCTGCTGATGTGGCCCTGATTTCTGTTCCACTGGACCACAGTTTCAAATCATTTTGTTTAAGAGGAATGGGAGATTGTACTGATTTTATTTCATTTTAGTTAAAATTTGAAAAAGATATAAGACGGCACAAGTGATCGGTTCAGCTGAAAGCTAGGACTGGGGCCAGATTTTCCCCTAAAAAAGGGGCTTTTCCTCTAAAAAATCCCAACTATTGTCAATCAGATTTCTTCTTATACACAGATAGTATGTTATGCTTATAAATGGTTGATTAATTCTACATAGTCAAAACCAGTTTTGCAATAGTAAATATTGTCACAATTGCTGAATTACACAATTTTAGTACAAATAATAAGTGCAACAAATAAAACAGCATAACAAAATTTCGAAGAACATTAAATTGGATTCAAATTCAAATATCCTTTTATTCTTAAACAAGCAGCTGGATTTTCAATAGTACTTCCTACAGAAGCAAGGCATGTGTAGCAATTTTGAAAATGAGATCATTTTTTTCAGGACTATAAATTTACATCTTGGGGGAGATTTTGAAAAGCGGCTGAGAGTAAGGACAGGCATTTTCAAGTTCAGAGTCACCTGGGGACATCTTGCTTTTGAAAATTATGCCTTTTGTCCCTAATTTTACGCTCCTGGGTTTTTCTACAAAACACAGCCCCGACCTTTAAAACCAATGTAGGCTACCTTAATTTCTGTTAAACAAGATGCATTACTCTCCCTGTTATACAACATCCATCATTACATGGCGTGAAACCATAATTCCTCTTTCCTGTGTTCACAGTGGCTGTTAGGACATCGGTTTCTAAACACCCATGAAAATGTCTGCAGAGTCTTTTGAAGAAAATGTAATCAGATTATGAATGAAAGTTACATGTATGTGTGTATATAGGTATATATAATTATATACTTCTCAAAAAAAGCAAATTTGTGCATGCACTAAATGAAGCAGCTACAATGTGACATAATCCAGCCACTTTTATTCAAGTAGTAGCAATTGCAGCTACAAACTGTGCTTTCAAACTGCAGAAAATATTTGTTGTATCTGATAAAAATGAATACTGATTCAAAATATTTGCAAAATTAAGACGCATAAAAATAAACTTTGGTTGTACAAAAGACAAGAAATAGTTATGGAGACCTGAACTTTATAAAGATCTCTTAGTAAAAGATGAGTTTAAAAAAAGTTATGCCAGTATATTGTTTGTTTTTCCAATTCTCATGGGACTATACCAGCAGAAAAGTCAAAAGGTTGATTTATTGTTACGTTTCGAAATCTGAGAACATTCCAAAGGAAGGAAGATTCTGGTAGTGTTATTGTGGGACCTCACATTTCCCATGCTGAAAAATCCATGGAAATTGGTTTGTTTTTACACTAACAGATATGTAATATAGAATGAAAGAGAGAGGTAGCAACAGCCAGAGAGTCAGACTAAGGTCAGAGATTTAAATTCACAACCAAAATCAATTCTGCATGCTCATACAGGCAGTATTGGACAGGAGTCCGGATTCAGCTATGATAGAAAGCAAACACATCTCCAAGAAGCCAACTGAATTTCTGTTTGCTTACATCAAGGTGATATTTGCCCAAAGAACACGGATGAATCACAGCTTACAGCTCACTTCCTGCAATGGCCTTTGCCCATCAGAGCTATGGCATAATTACCTTCCACTTTAGTGTATGGCTTCCATTTGTAGTACCACCCCCGGAAAGGTTTGCTGTTGTATTCTGCACACTGCTGGGCACGGAAGTCCAAACTATTTGCTGGACATGGCTGATTATTACAAAGTTGATAAATACGACTGGAACCTTGGCAGAATTTGCCGCCATACTGTGGCCTAAAAAAAAAAAAAAAAAAAAAAAAAAA